TGAAAGCGCCACAGAACACGGGAATCTTGATCGTTCCTTCCCTTCCGTGCGCTCTCCAGGTGTTCACCTTCCAGGCCGTCTCGGGAGCCTCGCCCTGCACGACCCCGCCCCCCCACACGCCCCCCGAGGTCCCCGGCTTCCTCCTGCCGCCCGAACGCGTTATCATCACCCAGCCGACGCCCGAGGTGGAGACCGCGGCGGAGGCGACTGAGAAGCCCGAGGAACCGGCGAAAGAAGGTGGGTCCTTGAGGGGTGGAAAAGGGGAGGAGGGATGATGGTGGGAAGAAAGATGGGGGAGAAAGGGGAGGAGGGATGATGTGGGAAAGAAAGATGGGGGAGAAAGGGAGGGAGGGATGATGTTGGGAAAGAAATTGGGGGAGAAAGGGAGGGAGGGGTGATGTTGGGAAAGAAATGGGGAGAAAGGAGGGAGGGATGATGTTGGGAAGAAATTGGGGGGTGGAAAGGGAGGAAGGGATGATGTTGGGAAAAGAAGATGGGGATAAGAGAGACTTTAATTTTTTCCCCTTTTTTTTGGTTTTGTTATGATGTAATGTATCTTTTTATGGCTTAATTAGGTGACATTTGTTTTTTTCTGTTTTGTTATGATATAATGCATCTTTCTGATTACATAATTAGGTGACAAAATATCTAAAACTAACTGCAATGCCACTAGTTTTCATTTCTGTTTTGTTATAATATAATGTATCTTTTTGATGACTTAATTAGGTGACAAAATATCTAAAACTGACTACAATGCCACTAGTTTTCATTTCTGTTTTGATATAATATAATGTATCTTTTTGATGACTTAATTAGGTGACAAAATATCTAAAACTGACTACAATGCCACTAGTTTTCATTTCTGTTTTCATATCTAAAACTGAGTACAATACCACAAAGTTTTCCTATCTTCCTCTCTCTCTATTATTTCATCTTATTCTCAGCATCTTCGAACTTCGACCAACCCAACTTCGAGCTGGAGCTGAGCGGGACACAGCAGGAGCTCTACTCGCGACAGTTCAGCTCTTCTCCCGAAAGCGAAACGACTGAAAAGGACCAACAATACGCGGAGTTGGTCTCGAGCCCTGATGTCTCCAACCAGGAGGTATGATCTGCATGCTGTGAATTCGTGGATAATGATTTTTTCGTTTATTTGGTTTTGTGTACTTGTTCATTTTTTAATTTTCATTTTTTTAACATTCACAGTAAGATTTGGAGTATCCTTGTTGATGCACTTTTTTAGGTCATTTAGATTTTTTATCTTTTCGTTTAACCTCTTCCAGTCCACTAAACACGTGTTAGTTTAATCTTATAAAAAAAAAACAAGACAAAAAAGTATAAAACAGAAGAGATTCAAAGAAGTTTCTTTATAAATCCACCACGTCCTCCTAATTAACCAACGTAACCCCCCTAACAATATATATACATATATATAATAACTATTTTCCTTCTGTGATAACTTAACCTCTTATTTTGCTTTGCGTGAGACACAAAAAAGGACAAAAGAACAATTAAAAAATATCCAAAGTCCAAACTCAACCCGTTGTGTAGCGTAGGTGGTCTTTTTTGCTTACACAGGAGGAGTTAGTGCAATCAGCAGCAACAACACCAGAGGCCTATGAAGAGGTGACATTCTCACTAGCGTAGAATTATTAGTCTACCCTTCTTCCTTTTAGTGGCATGACAAGTCTAGGTTTTAACAAATGAAAAGAATATTATATATATTTATATACACATGGTTTTTATTTTTGTGTAAAATTAGTTTTGATATATATATTGCTTCTCTAATGCTATTTTGTTATTTTTTATACATATATTTACTTGTGTGAATTTAGAAAGCATTCCAACTGATGAATTGTTTATGGATGAAGTTTTATGATACGTATATTTTTTAAAGACTGTGGCAACTGCTGTCTATGTAATTTTGATGCTACCTTAGATTTTAGGTGTGTATGGGTTCATGCATGTGTGTGTGTGTGTGTGTGTGAGAGAGAGAGAGAGAGAGAGAGAGAGAGAGAGAGAGAGAAGAGAGAGAGAGAGAGAGAGAGAGAGAGAGAGAGAGAGAGCAGGATGGAATAAATTATTTAAAAGGAATGAAAGTGCGAGAACGCGAGGGAAGTTTTGCCACATTTAGGAGCAAGTATTTATATTACCTTACTTTACATCAGTTAGTTTGTGTATGCGAGAATTTAGATATTCCCAAAAGTCTTTTTGAAGAAAAACAACGATAGATTCACAACACACACACACACACACACACACACACACACACACACACACACACACACACACACACACACACACACACACACACACACACACACACATACACATACAGATATACGTATATCATATCTTTTATTTCCTTTACTTACATCTACAATTTCGCCGAACCCGTACAAGTACACCAAAGGCCTCACAGGAAGACATAGCTTCAACCCATTCTCTTTTTCATTTCTTTTCTTTTTTCTCTCTCTCTTCTTCTCCCACGTTATCTTTCCGGATCGATATACTAGAACGGTGACGTTGACTTCCAACGAGAGGACTGGGACCCCTCCGCGGCCACCACCCCAGCAGAGCATGTGGAGGTGACACAGTTGGACGTGAGGGAAAGCTGTGATTGAGGGGGGTTTAGTAGTGATTTTGGGGGGACCAGTTTGATTAAAATTGTGCGAGGCCTTACCCTGTGCATATTCTTATATACAGATGTGTATATATACAAAAATAAGTGCATATTTATCTATCTGTCTGATATAAATATATCTGTTTATTCAGTTGGGTATTATGCATGCCTAGACTGATAGATACGTATTTATTTCTGTATATATGCAAGTTAGTGTAATGGATATTCACTGGGTCGCACCACGCACAATTTTAACAAACCGGCCGTTGAACATTTTATTAAAAGGCTTCATCACACTTGTACTTTTACCGTCATTTATTTGGTATTTTGCGTGAGTTTGAGGCTTTCTGAATGCATTGCCAGACAAAAATGGGAGCGACCGTTTCTGTCTGATTAATATCCTTCTTGATCTTGTAACTACGGAGGATCTATACATAAAGAACACTTCCTTCTTGAAAAGATAGAAAAAGTTCATATAAACAAAACTGATCATTTCTAGAATATCTATATATACAATATACATGACTGAATTTCTTTAAAATAACATGTGTGAAAAAGCTCGTGTGATTCCCAGGATCTCTCACAGATGGCGTTGTGTTTGTTTAAATGGCAGTGTTTGTTGCCTTGGAAGTGTAAAAGTCAGTTCATACGGAAAGTTCATAAACAAACGCAAAAATTGACGGAAAAGTGCTAGTGTGATAAGGCTTAGTTAATTATTGTTGGTATTGGAAATATTATGATGTTTATTATCATTATTGTTATTATGATATTATGATTATATTATCATTATTAGTGCTATCATTATTATTAACATGATTATCATTATTATGCTTATTATTATTTATCTTGATCATCTATAAAAATTATATTACTATCATAATTATTGTTATTATTATTATTATCATTGTTTGTTGTTAATGGCAATAATAATGATGTTAATATTAAAAGTAATGATATTGCTATTATTTTTATTATCAGTATTATTATTATCATTAGAGTCACTGCCATTAATACTATTATCATTATTACTATAATTGTTATTATTACTGTCATCATTTATTGTTATCATTATTGTAATTGCTTTATGATCATCATTTTCATTATTATTACTATAATCGTTACCATGTTCTATTATTACCATAATTGTTATCATTACTATGATTATCATTATTTTTATTATCAATTTCAATTAATTTCCCGGGCAGGGGGGGGGGGCAGGAGGAGAATGTAACTGTAATGATCATCAAATTAATATATTAGATAGATAAGATGGGATTGGAAACAAATAAGATATTAATTTCATGGGGAAAAAAAACTATACAGAAGCAACCAATTGAAATATAGAACCAAAACTCCCTATTATAGAAGAAAAAAATCTAGTCCTATCTTATAATATAACCATGGTGTGAAAATCAACACCTGGCCATATTTTCCCTTGGCACCATTAACTACTCCCTATCATAAAAAAAAATAGAAGTCAGTCCTTATCATATTTGTAAAACCATGATCATATCGCTCTTCAACATGAAAAATGGTAATTTATTCCATATCTTGCATGTAAATCCATGGTCTTTATGCCATATTATCTAAACAAAAAAGTTAATTCACTCACTACTTTATACTCAAAACCATGAATATAAGGCCCTTTACTGAGTACCAGCCGGCGATATAATAACACGTGCCCCATGTTTTCCTTGGCACCATTTAGCTAGTGGCCGAACTCGAACCATGGCTAGACGGCGTGGACCCAACAGCAACGACTACACCCGATGATCTAGACGAGGTGATACATCTTACAAAGAAAGGTGTCACGCTAACATCCCTCCTACTGTAGAGCATGGCTAGACCCACCATCAGTTTTCGCTTCATTAGAGCGTTTGACATTTGTGGAAGCTTATATATATATATATACATACATACTCTCCTTGTCTCCTTGAGGTAGTTCAGTGTGTCAGTCCAGAAACGAGATTTTTCCTTTTCTCTAATAGTGAAAAAAACTAATATTATTTTTTTTTTCGAGAGGAAGTATTAGAGGCGGGGATTAAGAGAGCGAGAGAGCGAGAGAGAGAGAGAGAGAGAGAGAGAGAGAGAGAGAGAGAGAGAGAGAGAGAGAGAGAGAGAGAGAGAGAGAGAGAGAGAGAGAGAGAGAGGTGGGGAGGGGGGAAAGAATAAAATAATGATAAATAAAGAGGGAGACACAAGAGAGCTAAGAAAAAAAAAAAACATCCAGCTTTATAAACAAACATAGAAAACAGAAGGTGTCACAGAAAAATACAGATTAAAAGATATATAGAAACTGCTTATCAAGTTCACAATAAAAATATTATTAAATGAAAATTATGCTTTCTGGATTATTTACTTTGCAAATGAGAAACAT